CTCGTTTTCATGTTATACACATATGTAAGAGCGTGTATCGATGTGCTAATTGAAATGCAAATTTGGATTCAAACGCAATAGGAAACGCGAGCACGGGTGCCAAGCGAAATACCGACACAATCTATGTGAATCTCAGACCCAATTATACAATTGCATATGTACGTGTAAAGTACTTGAACCGAATTGCCATCTAGTTTGCAGGACATATCGATGACGATAAGTAGTAGTTGTGGAACATTGACTTGACAGAATTCATTCTCCAGGAAATTTGTTGCTCATTCACTTGATAAATTTACATATAAACTGATAAAAAAAAATAGTATACAAAAGAATTGTAACATCTGAATGCAATGAATAATAAATAATTTTCATTCGCATGAAATAATTGAAAAATCGTAAATCGAATTTACAAATGAATTCTTTAACAATGTTATTTTACAAATTCAATTGTACTTGTTATTTAAACTGTGTATTCTTGACCCCTATCATAAAATAATTTTTTTTTCCCGAGCATTCAGCAAACCCATTCAGACGTCACGTGGAACCCATTTTTTTTAAACATAGGACCATTTTTCATTTACTTTTGAGCACTTGTTGGAAAATGAAATTTCCCTCTCGTATTTACACGATTTTTTTTGCGAATTATTGTTCTCTTTCTTGCATATTACCAAGCAGTTTCCGCATCCTTTTGCTCTTTATATTTCCATTCACTGACTTTGCATTTTCACTGTTCAGCAATTTAGAGAATTATTGAATTTTCTTCCCCATCATCAGGAAATAAAAATTTAATCTTCTAAAACTGGACTGGAAGTATTTTTATTTGAATAGAATCTTCAAAACTATGAAGAATAGAGAAGAATGTTGTGGGGCTTCACCTAGTGGAAATAAAGCATTCAAAAATTGATAATCTGTGACCTACTTCCTACAATTAGGAAATTCTAGAAATCTCTAAACATGCGAATTTAATTCAAATTTAATTTAATCTTTATAATTGCTTGTTTGCATTAGAGTAATATTTGTTTTTCATTGAAGAGAAAATAGATTTCCTGAAGAGACTAATGATAAGTAGTACTTTTACTATGTATGTGTCTAATTCAAAATTCAATTTCATCTTCATAGTCGAGCATTTCTACTAACACTTGAACATGAAGATAGTTAGCGAAACAGGATACGATGCTGAGCTGTTTAGCAGTTTTCGTATAATGGACCTCGAGCATTCTGAAACACTACTTTTCTCTATCTCATTTATCAGCACTTCCTTTATTGAGAAAATAGCTCGTCGTATTTTCCAAAAAAACATTGTTTCGCATTTATCGCATAATTTCCTGCACATTTTCAAGTTCCAAAAAAATAATTACAGCCACTGTGTGGAACAATGAGGACAATGAACCATGAAGATATGTTCCAACTTCCTAACAAGAATTCTATCATCCCGTTTGTAAATTTTCAAAAAACCATCAAACTAAATTTTTTTTTGATGAAAAAAGGCAAACTAAAAGTTTTGATAAAAAAGAGGGAAATATGAATAATTGTGGGTTTTTTTTCGGAGAATTGGGAATTTCTGAATAAATTGAACAGTAGGCAAGGCGCGACGGCCGCGAGTGCTTGTTTATTTTGGAAATTAAATTGAATTGCCCCATAACTTGCCGGTCTATTAGCCTTGGGGACGCGGCTAGTTTGCTCGTAAATCTCCGGAGTATCGGAAGGGGCAGCAGGGAGAAGGAGGAGGGAGGGCATTGGTGGTGGTGGTGGTGGTGGTAGTAGTAGCAGCAGCAGCAGTGGTCCTTGCTGAGGGTGGAGGGTTTCGATTCGGTCGACAATGCGTCCGGAAGCTCCCAGGAAATACATGGGCGTGGTACCGAGATAAATGTACTCTAACATTTGCATACTTACCTCTCGGGTTCAAAAGCTTGAAATCCTTCAATCCATCCCTCCCCTTCCTCTTCAGCCAGAAACTATTCCCAACCTGTCATCGACCAACTGCATCATCCTCGCTATCATCAGCTATAGGTCACAGCAATTGACATATGACTTTTGATTAATTTCCCTTTTCTTTCCCTTCGATTAAAAGGGTGTTTTAAGGTGAATTTCTGAGCTATTAAAATTAATTCTTTTTCTAAATATGAGATGAGCCGCTTTTCGATTTGAACGGCGTTAGTTGGCTGGTTAACACTGAACCTAGAAACTAACTTGTTTAATCCAAAAAGGCCAAAGAACAGATAAGTGTTTTCAGGTGAATTTTTGAGCTATTAATTCGTATTTTAAAAATATTTCTTGAACTAGAGAACTAGAGAAATTCTTAATAAATAATAATTTTGGGATTTATAAAAATTATTGAAGAAAAAAACTCTTCTAAAGCTTTTAAGTGGTTTTTACCATTCCCCTCTAGGAATATAAAGATTCGTCCACTTTCTTCCTTACTGAAAAAGAAAAATTAGATGAAAGTTGTGTTAACTTTTCTTTGAAAAGAAAATATTTTCTTTCCAAAGTCCGAATTTGGCTACTTTTCAAAAAAATTTCCAACTTCAACGCGGTGAAAGAAGTGTGAAAAAAAACTCTTTATTTTCTTTATATTATTTTTCTTGTCGAATGTGACTTTTACGTTGGGGAATTTTTATTTATTCTTTGGAAATTAGATTATTTTGTCAAAAAAGAGATGTTATAAACTTAGAAGTGTCTCTCCTTGTTCTCAACAACAACAACAGCGGAAAAAAACAAGAAGAAAACAGGACAAAAAAAAATTCCGGAAAGCTTCGGATTAAAATGATTTACTGCTAAAGAACAAGGGTGCAACTGAATTGTGTGTGAGTTTATAAAAATTTATAGATTTGTGTGTTGGAGAATGGAATGGAAGCTAAACGCGACAAACTGGAGAACCGGATGTACCTAAAGACAAATGTGCAGGACTAGTCAGTACCAGAAATTCCAGTGGGACGAACACCTTTCAGGAACGAGTCGACGGATTTATCGTTCTGTTTCTCTGGAACATTATTATTGAATGAGCCTTCAATGAATTTCGCAGCTTTTCTGCAATGTACATTTCCAACGCAGTTTTTGAAATTTAATGTGGAAATTAACGAAAATCTAGTAAATTTTCTTTTAAAAATAATTTTTTTAATTCCTTTTTCTTTTTAGTTATGAAATTATATGAATTACTTTTAATTATGAACTACTTTCAATTACAGGCTTTGCACTCAACTACTAAAACCTAGTATTTACAACTTTTTTTTAAAAATGTACTATTATTTAATTAAATTTATAATTAAATTCTTCGCTGAAATTCCATTTTTTTGAAATATTTACTATTTTAATAAAATTTCTCAAAGGAATTAATTTCATGAATAATAAAATTTTGAGTGGAATTCAATTACTTAAAATAAAATTTACAAGAAAATTGTATTAAAATTGGCTTAAAATAATTGAATTTATGGAATAAATTTTATTATTAATGAAAATAATTTAATTAATTAATTTCTTAATTCAAAAAAATTCAAATATTTCAAAAAAATTTTATTAACATTCTTCGCAAGTATTTAATTGCTTTTACAAATAACGAAATTCTTTGCTGAAATTTAATTATTTTTAATATCTACAATTGAATATTAATAAATATTAATAAATTTATAGTAAATAAATATTAAGAAATAATTAATAAATATTTAAAAATATTAATAAATTTTAATAAATTTTAATTCCAAAGAATTCAATTATATAAAATAATTTTAATAAAATTAAAAATTAATCTCAGTAAAAATTTTAAATAATATTTAAATATTAAAAGCGTTATACATAGAATGAACTTTTAGAAATAATTAAATTTCTAAGATTTAAAATTTAATCTTTGAAAATTTAATTTGTTTTGTAAAACTAAAAATATTCAAATATTTATTTTAAATAACTGTTATATTAATTTATTTTTTTTCTCAAAAAAAATTATTAAAGCTTTAAATAATTTTATTTAAAAATTTTTAAAAAATGAATTTTGAAAGAATTGCTATTGGTAATTTTTGGAAATAGTTAAATTTCACAAAAGTTTTTACACTCTTAAATTATTTAAAATTTTAATTCCTGTGGAAAAATAAATAGGTATTTAAATATTTAATTTTTAAAAAATATTCTACTTTTGAAGGTAATTCAATTGAGAAATTCTGAAAAAATTAGTCTTTTAATTAATTTTAATTAAAATTTGTTGAATATAGTTAAATTCTCGATAAAATTTTAAATATAGTTATTTTAATTTTTTATTAATAGGGAACTTTTGTCGCAAATTAAATTAAAAGGATTTTGTCGGAATTTGTACATATTTTAAAGAATTTTATTATTTTACCTTTAAAAATTATTTTTCAAAATCGTAATTTTTAAAGAATTGTAACTAAAATTTTGAAAAATTATTGAATTTCATAGAGAAAATTTATAATTGAAATTTAGTAATTTTAAAATAAAAAAAGATAATATTTTTATGGAAATAAGAAAAATACAGAATCAAAATTTCTTAATTTTTGTAAATCGACAAAAATGAGAATTTTTAGTTTTTAAATTTAATTCTTCGATTCTTTTTCAAATTTTTTCCGTCTTGAAGCTACTTTTTGATAGTTTTTTTTTTAATTTTTAATAATCTGCAACGTTCTTTGATATAAAAAATTGATTTTAAAAATTAATTATAAAGTGCGAAGTCTGTGCAATTAAAAAATGATTTCAATTACAAATTGATTTCACATTCTAAATTTTAAAAAAAAATTTCAAAATTGAAAAAAACTAATAAAAAAATGACAATAAAATTTGACCTTGTAAGCAATGAGATTGTAAAAGAAAAATGATGTAACGTTTTTATAAAAATACGTCTTAAGGTAAAAACAGATTTTTTTGTTTTAACATTGATTGAAAAGAACATTATAATCGTATCTTATGTAAAGAATATGAAAACTTAATTGCCATGCGTCATCATTTTAAAAGTTTGTAATTACAATCTAATAAAGAGAGACAGAGAAAAATATATCAAGTTCGTGACAACTTACAAAATTCTCAAGTTTATTTTCACATAAGTCAATTCTTTACACATTTAATTTTTTAAAAAATATTTTCTTTCATAAATTCGTTCTTACATTTTACGCTTTTTTACGTTTCTTTTTTACATTTTAAGCTGTCTTACGTTTCTTTTTACGTTTTTACAATTGTTTTAGAAATTAAGATAAAAAATTTACACTATTCATTTTTAAAAAAATTTTTCTGTCATAAAATCATTTTTACATTCTACGCTTTTTTACATTTCTTACAGAAATCAAGTTCAAAAAATTAAAAAACTTTAAATTAACATTATTTTTCTTCTGAATCACATTTTCATTTTTATCGTCAGTCTGCGATATTTTCATTTTTTTTTTATTTACAAAAACTTTTTCTAACTTAGAATTTGCTCCATACAACCATTATTTTTCATATCAATAAACATTTCCAATAAAATATCACGAAATTTATCCCCACCAATGTCACTGAAATAGGGTATATTTTTTTCAGCATCATTAAAATCAATCTTCTCTACTTTCAAACCGTGCATAATTGGCAAATAAAATGCAGCGATCATAAAACCAAAAAGTGCATATTTTTTATAGTCGTTTAGAAAATTTTCTTTTGCAAATTCACTGGAGGGGGAAAAATTAATTTTCTTAAAATATCCAATTATTGAATTATAATAAACATCGAAGACTTGATGAAATTTTGTTCTAATATCATTGGGTGACATAGACAAATAAATAAATGTCGAAAGATCAATAGCCGGTGAAGCGTACGATAACATTGCGAAATCAATTAACATTGCCTTGCAACCAAATTCAGTTTTTTTGAAAAAAACATTATCTATCGTAAAATCCCCATGACATAATGTTGCTAATTTAATATTTTTCCCATCCATTGCAACTTGCATACAATTTTCGAATGAATTTTGAAAAAATTTCTCCGCCTTATCACAGAAATGTTGATCATAATTTCTCTCGCGAAGACACTTTATTATTCTTGGCATTAAATTATTGATTAATGTGGGAAATATATTTTTCTCACGATATTCGTATCTTGATTCTTGAATGCCATTCACTATTTCATGGAATTTCGATGGTGAATTTGATTTTAGAACATAACCCTTGGCGTGAAATTCACCAATTTCTTGCATTGCTGCTAAAATATATTCCATATTAACATTCACTTTTTGTGGACACTTGTGATAGTTGAGCTTGTTGATATTTTCGACGACAACAACTTTATTTGATAATGTCTTTTCGTTTGTATAAAAACACTGAGGATAATCACAACTATTTTTCATGTAATTTTCGTAGAATAAAATTTCATTGTGAAAAAGTTTATCAATTTGACAATATTCCCTTATTGCTTCATCTTGATTTGGTCGTTTTATCACTAGACTTAAAGTTTGCACATTGTTATTATTTTTTAATTCAAGATCGAGAAATATCACATCCGAAATGAATAATCGTTCGAAATTAACAACTTTGTATTGTGAGACACTTGTTTCTTGATTTAACGATAATTTTAATTTTGGTATTAAATAATCGTCTAACCATAATTTTGTCTCTTGCAAAGATTCATTTCCGTTAATTTCTTCTTTTTCGCCATTATTCACTGTTTCGTTAGACATTGTTAGTTGTTTTTTGGATTTAAAATGAAAATGAAAATGAAAATTTTTAATTTCAAATTCACACTGTAATTTTTGATTTTTGAGTTTTTAGTGTTTCATTGGGGAACAAGAAATAATGACTAAAACTTTTAAGCTAGACACTAGAATGGTGACTAGACGGAAGGTATGACTTCACTTGCATGCAGAGTGTGTTATTATTATCCGGATTCTGGATGGTCACTGTGAATGAGTTTGTCATTAGGTTTAATACTCTGGTGGGAGCAATCGCACAAGTGGGGATTCAATGTTTCTTTATTGCTTATATACAAGGTCGTACATAGAGTTTCGATTTAAGATAAGAAAAAAAATTTTTTAAACGAAATTTTTCAATTTTTTTCCCTCTAAATATACAATAAATAAATAAAAATAAAGTAAATTTAATTCAATCGTAAAGTTTTATAAGATTTTGTCTATTCTTCTATTTTTATTTATTATCGCATTAATAAAGAAATTCAACATTAAATTCAGCATTAAATTCAACATTAAAATAATCTACAATTATTTTAATAAAATTTCTAAAAAGAATTCAATTATTTTAATTAAATTTCTAAAAAGAATTCAATTATTTTTAAAACATTATCATTCTCAATTTTTATAAGGAAATAATTTACATCATTTCTACTTCTTAATTGACAATTGCTTTAATAAAATTTAAAAAAAAATTTAAAAAAAAATTAAATTAAAAGTTTTTTAAAAAATAAAACAAATGTTGTTTAATAATTTCTTTTTTAAATAATGAAATTATTTTGACGAATTTTAATAAAATCTTTAAGAATAATTACATTTTTTATAGGAATTCGATTAAAATTGTACTAAAAATAATTAAAATTCTGCGATTATGAAAATAATTGAATTTCTGAAACAAATTTATTACTAATAAAAATAATTGAATTCATTAAAAAAATTTATAATTTATAAAAATAATTCAATGTTTGCGTACAATTTTATTAAAACTTTTTTTTTAATAATTGGATTCTTTTGGAAATTTATTAAAATATTAGATATTGAAAATCATTGAAATGAGGAAAATTTTTGAAAATAATTGAATTTCAAAAAATTTCTTTCAAGTTTTGAAAAGAATCGTGTTTATTAATAATTGAGATTAAACATTCATTTATTGAATTTTATTAAAATTTTTGAAAATTCTTTTGAAAAATTTTATAACGAATTAAGAAAAAAATTGAATTATTTCGTAAAATTTTTTTGATAATATAATTGAATTTTTGTAAAAAATTTTATTATTCATAAATATAATTGAATTGTTTCAAAGGGTTTATTAAAATTTCAGAAAATAATTGAATTTTTTTCGAAAAATATTATAAAAATTTTTTAAAAATGTAATTTTTTTATGAAATGTTATTAAAAGTTTAAAAAATAATTGAATTTTTGCAAAGAATTTTTTCTATTTACAAATATAATTGAATTTTTTAAAAAAATTTATTAAAATTGTAGAAAATAATTGAATTTTTTCAAAAAATTTATTATAATTGTAGAAAATAATTGATTTTTTGCAAAGACTTTTATTATTTATGAATATGATTGAATTAAATCGAAGGATTTATTGAAATTTTTAAAAATAATTGAATTCTTTTGAAAAATATTATTAAAAATTTTTTAAAAATGGAATTCGTTCATGAAATGTTATTAAAATTGTGATAAAAATAATTGAATTTTTGCAAAGAATTTTACTATTTATAAATAAAATTGAATTATTTCAAAGGATTTTAAAAATTTTAGAAATTAATCGTATTCGTTCGTAAAATGTTTTAAAAAATTTTGTTTAAAAATAATTGAATTTTTGCAAAAAATTTTACTATTTATAAAAATAATTGAATTCTTACGAAGAATTTTATTATTTATGAAAATAATTGAATTCTTGCAAAGAATTTTATTAAAATTTTCAAAATTTATAAACAAGAATAATTAATTAGTAAATTAGTTAATAATTAATTTTTTTAAAAAATCTGAAATTATTCAAAAATTCATATTTGAAAATAAAAAATAATTGCATAATAATTATAAATTGAATATCAATTTAGAAAAAAAAAATACAAAATTGAAAAATAGTTAAAATAATAAATAATGAAAATAAAATTTTGATCTTGTAAGTAAATGTAAAAGAAAAATGATGTAACGTTTTTATATAAAAATACGTATTAAGGTTTAAAATAGTTTTTTTTTGTTTCAACATTGATTAAAAAGAACATTATAATCGTATCTTATGTAAAGAATATGAAAACTTAATTGTCATGTGTCGTCATTTGAGAAGTTTGTAATTACACCTAATAAAGAGAGACAGGGAAAAATATTTCAAGTTCATGACAATATACAAAACTTCAAGTTTATTTTCACAGAAGTCAATTGTTAACACATTTAATTTTTGAAAAAATATTTTCTTTCCTAAATTCGTTTTTACATTTTACGCTTTTTTACATTTTTTCTAGAAATCAAAATAATAAAATTTTTTAAATTCAAATTAACATTACTATTTTCTGAATTAAAATTCTATCTTTATCGTCAGTCTGAGATAGTTTAATTTTTTTATTTATTTACAAAAACATTTTCTAACTTAAAATTTGCTTCATACAACCATTATTTTTCATATCAATAAAAATCTCTAATATAATATCACGATATTTATCCCCACCAATGTCACTAAAAAAGGGGATATTTTTTTCAAGATTATCATAATCAATTTCCTCTAGTTTCACACCGTGCATAATTGGCAAATAATATGCAGCGATCATAAAACCAAAAAGTGCATATTTTTTATAGTCGTTTAGAAAATTTTCTTTTGCAAATTCACTGGAGGGGGAAAAATTAATTTTCTTAAAATATCCAATTATTGAATTATAATAAACATCGAAGACTTGATGAAATTTTGTTCGAATATCATTCATTGACATAGACAAATAAATAAATGTCGAAAGATCAATAGCCGGTGAAGCGTACGATAACATTGCGAAATCAATTAACATTGCCTTGCAACCAAATTCAGTTTTTTTGAAAAAAACATTATCTATCGTAAAATCCCCATGACATAATGTTGCTAATTTAATATTTTTCCCATCCATTGCAACTTGCATACAATTTTCGAATGAATTTTGAAAAAATTTCTCCGCCTTATCACAGAATTGTTGATCATAATTTCTCTCGCGAAGACACTTTATTATTCTTGGCATTAAATTATTGATTAATGTGGGAAATATATTTTTCTCATAATAATAGTATCTTGATTCTTGAATGCTATTCACTATTTCATGGAATTTTGATGGTGAATTTGATTTTAGAACATAACCCTTGGCGTGAAATTCACCAATTTCTTGAATTGCAGCTAAAATATAATCCATATGGAGATTTACATTTTGTGAACACTTGTGATAGCCGTGCTTGTTGATATTTTCGACGACAACAACTTTATTTGATAATGTCTCTTCGTTTGTATAAAAACACTGAGGATAATCACAACTATTTTTCATATAATTTTCGTAGAATAAAATTTCATTGTGAAAAAGTTTATCAGCTTGACAAAATTCCCTTTTATATTCATTTGGTCGTTTTATCACTAGACTGTAATTATTTTGCACATTGCTTTCATTTTTTAATTCCAAATCGAGAAAAATCACATCCGATACAATTAAATGTTGGAAATCCACTATTTTGTATTGTGAGACACTTGTTTCTTGATTTAACGATAATTTTAATTTTGGTATTAAATAATCGTCTAACCATAATTTTGTCTCTTGCAAAAATACATTTCCCTTAGTTTCTTCTTTTTCACCATTATTCACTGTTTCGTTAGACATTGTTATTTTTTTTTAGATTTAATATTAAAATTAAAATTTTTTATTTTAATTTTTAATTTTTAAAATTCACACTGAAATTTTTGATTTTTGAGTTTTTATTGTTTAATTGACTTTGGAACAAGATATAATGGCTAAAACTTTTGAGACGGAAGGTGTGTCTTCACTTTTATGCAGAGTGTGTTATTATCCGGATTCTGGATGGTGACAGTGAATGAGTATGTCATTAGGTTTAATATTCTAGTGGGAGTAATCGCACAAGTGGGGGTTGAAGGTTTCTTTATTGCTTAATTTTTTTTTATAACGAAATTTTCCGATTTTCCCCCTCAACAAATATACAATTTATTTATTTATTTATTTATTTATTTAAATAAATGTTAATAAAAATAAACTAAATTCAATTCAATTATGAAGTTTTATAAGATTCTCTGTATTTTTTTATTTATGAGCATCTCTTCGTTTAAAATTAATAAAGATTTTTTAAACATTTTTCTCTTTAATATTTATGACATGTACTTAAATTAAAAAATATTAATTTAATAAACTTTATATTTTATTCAATGTTTCATAAAATATTTATTACCCTGCCTTTATGCATTTAAATATAATACCTATAATTATGAATATCATTCTTTAGATGATAATTAAAATATCTAATTTTTTTATTAACCATTTCACGCACGATTTTTTTTTTATAAAGAAGTGTATTTTTTGTCATCTTTTGTATTTATTTTCGTTCTCGTGACTCTTGAAAACACGTTTTTATAAAAATCCAACAAGTTTTTTAAAATTCTTCCGCCATATTGGATCCGCCATTTTGAATTTTTTTAATTTGACTTTAAATTCGTAATCAGCAACCCCGAAAACCCCGAAGTAACAAGTTTCGAACGAATTCGATCAATTTTTAAAAATTCTTCCGCGGATCTTAATCCACCATTTTGAATTTCGAAAAACTGATGTCGGATCCGTAATCAGCGACCCCAAAAACCCCCGAGTAACAAGTTTCTAACGAATCCGTTTGTTTTTTAAAAATTCGTCCGCCATATTGGATCCGCCATTTTAAATTTCGAAAAACTAATTTCATATTCGTAATCAGCGACTCCAAAAACCCCCGAGTAACAAGTTTCTAACTAATCCGTTTGATTTTTAAAAATTCGTCCGCCATATTGAATTTCGAAAAACCGATATCGGATTCGTTATCAGCGACCTTGATAACCCTTCAAAAATAGTTTATTTTTATTAGTTTAGCTTTATTTAATTTTCGATTTTGTAATTTTCTTGTAAATTTCGCAATAAAAATTCTTTTTTTATTATTATTATAATTAAAAAATTGTTCATTCTTTATTGCAATGTGAATTTTTAGTCAGTATTATTTTATTTATTCTTTATTTATTTCATTTATATTTTTAGATATATATATATAATTACTTTATTTATTTTAATTATTATTTACTTAATAACTCAGGTTTATAAGGTTTTGAACCTAAGTAATGAAATCTTGTTTCTCAGATCTTTTTAACAAATTTAATGTTTGATTTTAAAAATTCAAAATGGTGGATCCAATATGGCGGACGAAAATATTAAAAATTGAACAGATTCGCTTGAAATTTATTTATCGGCGGTTTTCGAGGTTGCTGATTACGAATCTGATATCAGATTTTAAAAATTCAAAATGGCGGATCCAATATGTCGGACGAAAATATTAAAAACTGAACAGATTCGCTTGAAATTTATTTATCGGCGGTTTTCGAGGTTGCTGATTACGAATTTGATGTCAGATTTTAAAAATTCAAAATGGCAGATCCAATATGGCGGATGAAAATATTAAAAAATGACGGATTTGATTGAAATTTTTTATTCGGGGGTTTTCGGGGTCGCTGATTACGAATCTGATATCATATTTTCGAAATTCAAAATGGCGGATCCAATATGGCGGACAAATTTAAAAAAATTACTTAAATTTTTATTAAACTTGGACTATTTATTAGAAAATTTGTTTACAGACGTTAGTCTTTAAATAAATTTTCTAATAAATAGTCGTTCGGAAATCCTAGTAACTAATTTTTCTTTGTTATTAAAATATCGTTTTCAGAAAATGTATCTAAAAGTATTTTTCATTTCAATATGAATTCATAAATTCTTTCAAGTCTTAAGAATAAGAAGGAGATATTCACAATATTTTTCCTCACTTTATCATCAATTACTTTCAACTTATATGCCATTAATAATAATCTAATCTTCCTGTTTTTATATTCACTTTCTTTGTCTATCTTTAAAACGTAAATTGTTTATGTACATTCGAAACTTTGTTTTCTCAGTGAAAAAAGAATTGAAAGAAATAATTTAGAATCAACAAAAAAGAGAAAATTAAAAAAAAAATACAAACCTAACAAATAGAAAAAGTAATAATCTTTAAATCTTTTTTAAAATCCATTAACTATGCAAAACTAAAGACCATCAATATTACTTGAAAGCATTGCATTAGATTTTTCTCTCAAACATTGATTCATGTACGATCACCCTAAAATAAATTCCCCGCTTACGGTCGTTTTTTTTCTTTTTGCTTTGTTGAATAAAAAAAAAAAATAAACAATAAAAATGGTAGATAGCACTACCCGATTCGCTAACTCTTCCAAACGTTTTGTTCTCGGCTTGGCGAAAAAAAAATATATAACAGTAAAATAAATTATTTCTGCACGAGTAAACCTTTCCTCTCCTGCGTTTATATAGTAAATTGGAATTTTCAGGATCATTTCTGCTAAGGGTTGCAAACACCCAATGACTAAACAAATCATATGAATTTCATCTTTTTCATCCGCGTTAAATAATAAATCAATAATTTAATCTGTGTCAAATGGAAAAAAAATGAAATAACACCCAAGCATGAAAATTTATCTATACATTTTTATTATTCCACATATAGATCTGAAAAAAGGAAGTTACAAAAAAATATATTTGATTACATAAATATTTCTGTAAAGCGTAGCGTATAATTTTTTTTAATTAGCATGATTTGTCTTTTTTTACTTAAAAAAAAAAACACCGAGTTATTTAAATTTATGAAAATTGACTAATTTATTTTCTTTTTGAAAAGTCAGTGAGTTAATAAAAATGTTAAAATATCATTTTTTTTTTGCAACCAATCACTATATTTGACGTATAAATTTAGTTTTATTTTTCCTCTCAGTGCCAATAATTAACTTTGTATAATCGATTTTGCCATAAATTTTGTGATTAAATTTTTAATAAACCCGCTTTTATTCGTTAGTCATTTATTTATCGATTAATCCCTTAAAAAAAACTCGCTTCTATATACCGATTATCAACTCCGACTATTTGATATTTTTTTAAAAGATTTATTTCTTCCTCGCATTCAATATAAAATAGTCTTTAGATACTTGAACAAATTTTATTAAATAAAGAATTTCTTTTTGTGGCGACAAAGAAAAAAAAAGTACAAATAATTGTAAAATTTTTAATAAATACGAATAATAGTAAATTTTTTATTTTTATCATAAAAGGGAAATTGATTTTTAAATTATTTAACAAGAATTTACAGTGTATATCTCAACGTGCAACGAATGTAATATCCTACGTGTATACTCATATAACCTGTTTAAAATTTACTGCTCGAGAAATATTTCTCAGATAACAAGAGCGACGAGATATAATGCACATCTGTTGCAATACTAGACTATAAAATGAAGACTTACAACACGATGCGTGTAGGTAATAATTTTGAATAGTGTAATTAGGAAAATTCTGTAATAAAACACGAGATATGAATGATTTTTTTAAAAGGGAATTGTAATTTTAGAAAAAATTTCATTTTTCAACAAGAAAATTTGAGTACGATGTAAAAGAGGAGAAAGAATTATTTTTTTTAAATTTTTCGATCGAGAAATAAGTGGGAAAAGATGAAACGAGTTGTGGAAGAGTTTTCCCCACTCTTGGTGCGCGCGCCGCACGCCAGGAGTGGGGAAGACCCCCTCTCTTCCGCCTGAGCCACTCCCGCTGCGCGCGCAGTACGCCGAGAGTGGGGGAAACTCTCTCCTTTCCGTCTGAGTCAATTGCAGCTCGTGGCTTCCCTCCTGCTGCGCACGCACTACGCTAGAAGTGGGGGAAATCCTCTTTTCTGCCTGAGCGAAGATAATTATAAATTATCATAGTTACAAATTAGCGAAATTAATTAATAAAATTGGGAAATATGAAATGTAAAATAATCTCCTTGAATTAATTTAATTACAAATACAAATTATAAAAATAAAAAATAGAAAGTAGTAAAATTAAAAATTAGTATTTATTATCAATTAGTACAAATAAATTAATAATAAATTTTATTATAAACCCACTCGTATGAAATTGTATTCCGTTTATCATTTTGTATTTGAAATAAAATACATTTTACACAAACAGGTGCAATGAAATTCATAGAAACGAGAATAAATTTTAACTTTATTCCAAACATGTTTTCAACTTGTGACATTGCAAAAAGAGATTTGCGAGAATTTTATGTATATTTGAGGATATGGTTTTGAAAACGTCACATATCAACATTTCCGAGTCTTTTTTAGCCTCTCTGTGGAAATTGGGAGGAAAAAGTGTGTAAAATTAATAAGTTGGTCTTTTTCATTTTAACACTTTTCCGTTTCGTTTCATACACACACACACACACTTTCTTTTTATTTTCTTATTCACTTTCTTACTTCTTGATTTTTTTTCCATCCCTTTTTCCGTATTTCTTCTAGTGGAGTATTCTGTATTTCTTCTTCCTTTGCATATGTATGTATGTACATAGCTATTGAAGTCAATACATAACTGAAAATATACAGACACATTCTCTTTTTCACCATCTCACTCCACTGGCTTTTAGCAAATATATACAGGCGCAAATTTATCGACCGACACTAAACGACATAATCCAATTTTCCTACAAATTGGCGACGACGCTTTTTTTTGCTGTATGTACATCGCCGCCTATATAATTTTTTTTTGTTTCTTCCTTTTTCTTTTAAAGTTTATACGCTATTGAATTTCTACTACTTACAATTAGAAAATAATCGAAGGAGGTAGTTTTTGTTACTGTCGTAACAAAAAAAAATTGCTTGCATATACTTTATAAACAATTTTATTATTTGTCTGAATTTACAGTTGATTGATTCTGTAAACTGAAAACTTTATACTGTTACCGTTTAGTGGAAATTAAATACTTAA